GGGGGGAGGGGCTGTGGGGGGTGGTGGGGTGGGGCTAGGGGGGAGGAGCTGTGGGGGGGTGTGTCGGGCTAGGGGGGAGGGGCTGTGGGGGGTGGTGGTGTGGGGCTAGAGGGGAGGGGCTGTGGGGGGTGGTGGTTTGGGGCTAGCGGGGAGGGGCTGTGGGGGGTGGTGGTGTGGGGCTAGGGGAGGGGCTGTGGGGGGGGGTGGTGTGGGGCTAGGGGAGGGGCTGTGGGGGGGTGGTGTGGGGCTAGGGGAGGGGCTGTGGGGGGTGGTGGTGTGGGGCTAGGGGGGAGGGGCTGTGGGGGGGTGTGTCGGGCACGTGAGAAGAGGGCGTTGTGGTTCGTCCCTCAGTCTTCTGTTTGGGGTGGGAGGCAGGGAGGGAGGTTTGGGGGAAACCCGCCATTAACATCGCCACGAGGCCAATCACCACAACCATCGTCAGCGTCATCATCGCGATCATCATCTTTACAATGTTCTCAACCATCGGCAACCACACCATGGTGAACATGATGTTGATCATGTTGGCTGCCGAGTTTGCAGAAATATTTTTACGTGTTTTTTCCTGCATTTTCTGTTTGCACAGTCACACATAGTCACTTTAAGATGTTTTCTTGTTCATGTTTTTGTTTTTTGTTTGTTGTGGTTGCACCCGATTCAAGAGCCGAATGGCTCACAGGGCTATACCAAAATAAATGAAACTATGAAATGGAACTGCTACTACCGTACTACTGCTGCTGCTGTTACTGCTGCTTCTGTTGCTACTGCTGTTGTTACTGCTGCTTCTGTTGCTACTGCTGTTGTTACTGCTGCTTCTGTTGCTACTGCTGTTGTTACTGCTGCTTCTGTTGCTACTGCTGTTGTTACTGCTGCTTCTGTTGCTACTGCTGTTGTTACTGCTGCTTCTGTTGCTACTGCTGTTGTTACTGCTGCTTCTGTTGCTACTGCTGTTGTTACTGCTGCTTCTGTTGCTACTGCTGCTGTTACTGCTGCTTCTGTTGCTACTGCTGTTGTTACTGCTGCTTCTGTTGCTACTGCTGTTGTTACTGCTGCTTCTGTTGCTACTGCTGTTGTTACTGCTGCTTCTGTTGCTACTGCTGTTGTTACTGCTGCTTCTGTTGCTACTGCTGTTGTTACTGCTGCTTCTGTTGCTACTGCTGTTGTTACTGCTGCTTCTGTTGCTACTGCTGTTGTTACTGCTGCTTCTGTTGCTACTGCTGTTGTTACTGCTGCTTCTGTTGCTACTGCTGTTGTTACTGCTGCTTCTGTTGCTACTGCTGTTGTTACTGCTGCTTCTGTTGCTACTGCTGTTGTTACTGCTGCTTCTGTTGCTACTGCTGTTGTTACTGCTGCTTCTGTTGCTACTGCTGTTGTTACTGCTGCTTCTGTTGCTACTGCTGTTGTTACTGCTGCTACTACGACAGTTCTGCTGCATGGCAATGAGCGCCAGGTCTGTGAGGTGGGCACGCCGAGTCTGGTGAGAGAGAGTGAGGGCGTGAGAGCGTGAGAGAGAGCGTGAGAGAAAGGGTGAGAGAGTGAGGGTGAGAGTGTGAGGGTGAGAGAGCGTGAGAGAGAGAGCGTGAGAGAGAGGGTGAGAGAATGAGGGTGAGAGAGTGAGGGTGAGAGAGCGTGAGAGAGAGCGTGAGAGAGAGAGTGAGAGAGAGCGTGAGAGAGTGAGGGTGAGAGAGTGAGGGTGAGAGTGAGGGTGAGAGAGTGAGAGAGAGCGTGAGGGTGAGAGAGAGAGCGTGAGAGTGGGGGTGAGAGAGAGAGCGTGAGAGGGAGAGAGAGAGCTAGAGAGTGAGGGCGTGAGAGCGTGAGAGAGTGAGGGTGAGAGGGTGAGAGAGTGAGAGAGTGAGGGTGAGAGTGAGAGAGAGAGCGTGAGAGTGAGAGAGGGCGTGAGAGAGAGCTAGAGAGTGAGGGTGAGACAGATAGCGTGAGAGGGAGAGAGAGCTAGAGAGTGAGGGCGTGAGAGGGCTAGAGAGTGAGGGTGAGAGAGTGAGGACGAGAGAGAGTGAGGGTGAGAGAGAGCGTGAGAGAGGGAGCTAGAGAGTGAGGGCGTGAGAGTGAGGGTGAGAGAGAGAGTGAGGGTGAGAGAGAGCGTGAGAGACAGAGCTAGAGAGTGAGGGCGTGAGAGAGCGTGAGAGTGAGGGTGAGAGTGTGAGGGCGAGAGAGAGCGTGAGAGAGAGCTAGAGAGTGAGGGCGTGAGAGAGCGTGAGAGTGAGGGTGAGAGAGAGATAGAGAGTGAGGGCGTGAGAGTGAGGGTGAGAGAGCGTGAGAGAGAGTGAGGGTGAGAGAGAGAGAGAGCGTGAGAGAGAGAGAGAGAGCTATAGAGTGAGGGTGAGAGAGAGAGCTAGAGAGTGAAGGTGAGAGAGTGAGGGTGAGAGAGAGCTAGAGAGTGAGGGTGAGAGTGAGGGTGAGAGTGAGGGTGAGAGAGAGTGAGGGTGAGGGCGTGAGAGTTGGGGAGAGGGCGTGAGAGAGAGAAAGCAAGAGCGTGTGAGTGAGAGAGTGAGAGAGAGGTTTTATTTAATTCGTGAATCAAAATGTTCACCTGGACAATCCCCTGAGACTGAACGTCTGGGTGAGCCCAGCAAACACGTCATGACAAAGGTCCCCCGTGTAGCCTCGAGCAGACCTTTGGGGCAAGTGCGGTTAGCGAGTAGTAGCACCTATCAAGACCGGTACAGCACACGACGGGATGGTGTCCAGCACAACGCCCGGCCGCCTTTGTCTCCAAAGTGGCGACGTTTATACATCGCACCGGGTACTCATTTGAGCCTGAGTAGACCTAGGGGAGGCCCAGCACCGGTTCAGATAATCGTCACCGGTCTTGGTGACACCTGAAGTGGGAATCAAACTTGGATCGGCCGGGTTTGGAATCGCCCGTTTCGTATCGCGCTAACCACTGCGTCACCGCTCCTTAATACAGATACACAGACACGCACCCACACATAGCAAGCACATTAAGACGCCTACACAACCATCCTCAATGTATAACCTCTACACCTACGCATTTATACAAACCAATGTCACAGATCCCCCGTAAAGCCTTAAAAGAATGTTGGGGCAAGTGCTGTTAGCCAGCAGCACCTAAGGAGGTCGGCACGGCACACGAGGGGGTGGGTGGCCAGCACCACGCCCGACCACCTTTGTCTCCCCAGTGGCGATGTTTACACACCGCACCAGGTACTCATTTCAGGCTGAGTCAACCTAGGGAGAGGCCCCGCACCGGTTCAGATAATCGTCACCGTTTTTGAACGTGAGCGGGATCGAACTTGGGTCGCCGGGTTCACAGCGCAGCGCGCTAACCGCTACACTACCGGCTCCAAAGACAAAGAACCCCCATATAGCCTTAACCGACTGTTGGGGCAAGTGCTGTTTTACGAGCAGCACCTATGAAGGTGCTGCACCCGAGTCAAGAGCCGCATGGCTCACAGGGCTTTACCTAATAAATGAAACTGAAACTGATGAAGGCCGACACAGCACACAAAGTGGTGGGTGGCCGGCACCACGCCCGACCGCCTTTGTCTCCCTCGGTGGCAACACCGCTCCACGCACACAGACACGCACACGCGCATAGGCATCCCGAGACACCGCCGGTCCATCTACCATGTAAGTCCGACTGTAACAGGCGCAGGTGTTTGTGTGAGTGTTGTAATTGACCGTGCGCGTGAATGAATGGAGGCTGACAGCCGGTGTCCCTGGGTGTTGCGAGACCCGCGTACACCGCGCTGCAAACAGCAGCAGCTCATGCGTTTGGCAGGAGGGGAGCGGTGGCGCAGCGGTTAGCGCACTGCGCTACGAACCGAGTTCAATCACCCCCCCCTCCCACGACCACCAGCACCGGTGATTACTCGAACCAGTTCTGGGCCTCCCCCAGATCGTCTCGGCCTCAAAGGAGTATCTATGCGGGATCAGTAAACATCGTCACGAGAAGAGACAAAGGCGGCCCGGCGTGGTACTGTACCAGCAAACCCACCAACCCGCTTCGTGTGCCGTGCCGGCCTTCACAGGTGCCACTCGCTACACGACACTTGCCCCAATAACCCGTCAAAGGCTACACGGGAGGGGGGGGGGATCTTTCTCTTTGCCGGCGCGGAGTCTCACACCCTGGGGCGGTTACAACCGTTCTGGATTTTGCACCGAAGAGCGGAGATGGTGATCGGGGAGGGATTTACATCGTCCGTTCAAGGCCGATATCAATGTCGAGTGATATCTGAACCTGTCAACCGCTTCTCGTACTTCACCCCACCCCCTCCCTCCCCCTTCTTGCACCGCACCCGCAATGACCAGCGTGGTGAAGTATTGTGCAGCGGCACTCTCGAACCGTCTCGGCGTGGATCAAGCCGCATTCGTCCAGCGGTAGATTGGAAGAATAAGGAAAAATAACGCCTCTTCACGTTAGGATGTTTACAGTGGTGGAGCGTGGCACAGCGTGGCGTGGCACAGCGTGGCGTGGCACTGCGTGGCGTGGCGTGGCACAGCGTGGCGTGGCACTGCGTGGCGTGGCACAGCGTGGCGTGGCACAGCGTGGCGTGGCACTGCGTGGCACAGCGTGGCGTGGTGTCACCCAGCCTCTCCACACAGCTCCTTCAAAGGCATTCGCTCCGCACGCGTGGACGAGTCCACTTCTCACAGAGGGAAGGGGGGAATCCTAAACCACCGGCTCAGCCGAACCCAAGACTATACCACTCTACCCGGGGAGGAGGGGCAGTGGCGGGCATACTTGAATGTAACTACCATAGGTATGAAACACATACACATTTGTATATAAATGTGAAATAAATGAATTTAAATATTAAACAAAAAAATATCAAAATGTATCATTGATATCACTCTTTCTCTCTGCTACTAGTATACAGATAGTCTTCACCTCCCTCTCATGTAATAATGGTCGAGTCCGCACTACCCGTGCTATCAACTCCGGGCAAAGCGACCGGGAGATTGGGGGGGGTGTAGGGGGAGGAGCGTAGGGGAGAGGGGGAGGAGAGGGGAGAGGGGGGGAGAGGGGGGTGGAGAGGGGGAGAGAGCGCGCACGGGGAGAGAGACGAGAGAGACACGGGGAGAGTGAGAAAGGGACACTGCGATACATCATGAAGCACCCGCAGAAGGTGAGTTTGTCCGGATGTGATGATGGTGATGGTAATGATGGTGGTGGTGATGGGGCTTTACGCAATCGAGAGGAGGTGGCAGTTGTGATGGGAGAGAGATGGAGAGAGAGAGAGGGGGGACGTGCTAAGGTCATTGCAGAGTCGAGGAGAGAGGTGGTGATGTAGCGGTGATGGGAGGGAGAGGTGGTGATGGTAGTGAAGGTAGTGGTGATGAGAGAAAGAGAGGTGGTGATGGTGATGGGAGAGAGGTGATGAGAGAGAGAGGTGATTTATGGTGATGGCAGAGAGAGATGGTGATGATGGTGTTCTATGCAAAGGAGATATGATGATATGAAGAGAGAGAGTGGCAGGAGAGGGTAGACGTACTAAGGTCATTGAAGACTCGGAGATGGAGGTGATGGTGGTGGTGATGGTGGTGATGATGGTGGTGGTGATGGTGTTTCACACGAAGGAGAGACGATTGGTGGTGGCGGTGATGAAGGAAGAACGATGTTGCTAATGTCATTGTCGACTGCAGGAGAGACGGGAGAGAGAGAGAGAGGGGAGAGAGAGAGGGAGAGAGAGAGAGAGTGAGAGGAGAGCGCTACACTGCGCTAGAGCGCGCCGCTGCATCCGAGTGATGAGGCAACCGAGTTTGATCCCGGACCCCGTGAATGCCGTGGGGCATCCTGCTCTGTTATCGCCGTCATCATCATCACCACCATCATCATCACTACGACTATTGTCTCAATCACCTCCACTACCGTCATTTTATTTACCACCATCATCATCGTCACGACCATTATCATGATTTTCAAAAATTTCATCATCACGATCATTGCAATCATCATGGTGTGAGCATTGGCCGGATATTATTAAGATCACAATGATGATAGCAATCATCATCATCAAGCGTTCTGTTATCTTTGATTATAATTGCCATCCAATGCATGATCATCATCATTAATATCATCACCGCCGGTGTGAGTACTTGATTGAGATCATTCACGTGATGATGATGATGATGATCATCATCATCGTCGTCATCGTGAGTTCCATTATCATTGGACAAATCTCCTGGACATGACCGTCATCATCATCATCATTATCGTCGTCCCCATTTTCATCGCCAATCTCGTCGTCGTTGTCGTCACCACCACGATCATCAGCATCATCACCCGCTCGCGTGGTGCTTGATGGGAGTGGGGTGGACGCGTGGTGGATCTCCGACAGCCTCACCTCCTCTCTCCGCGTCGTCCTAATTATCTCTCACAACTCTCTCCACAATGCAATCATCTCCGTCCGTCCGCCGACATCAGCGACCATTCGTGATTCTATGCCCCACGCGACTCTATGAGCCCAAGTGAATCTATGAGCCCAGGTAAATGTATGCGTCAGGTTACTATGCACCACGTGACTTTATGAGGCCAGGTAACTCTATGAGCCCAGATGACTCTATGAGCCCAGATGACTCTATGAGCCACGTGACTCCATGAGCCACGTGACTCCATCAGCCCAGATGACTCTATGAGCCCAGATAACTCTGAGCCAAGATGACTTTATGAACCACGTGACTCTATGGACCTAGATGATTCTCTGAGCCCAGATGACTCTATGAACCACGTGACTCTGAGCCCAGATGACTCTATGAGCCCAGATGACTCTATGAGCCCAGATGACTCTGTGAGCCCAGATGACTCTATGAACCACGTGACTCTGTGAACCACGTGACTCTATGAACCACGGGACTCTATGAACCACGGGACTCTATGAGCCAGGTGACTTTATGTGCCAGGTGACTTTATGAGCCAGGTGAATCTATGAGCCAGGTAAATCTATGTGTCACTTTACTCTCTGAGCAACGTGACCCCTCGAGCCATGTGACTCTATGATCCACGTGACTCTGAGCCCAGGTGGATCTATGCGCTACGTGACTGAGCCACGTGACCCTATGAGCACAAGTCGCAATGTGCCACGTTCCTTGATGAGTCACGTGACTCTATGAGCCCAGGCGTATCTTTGCACTACGTGACTGTATGAACCACGTGACTAAACGAGCCAGGTGGCTCAACGACACAGCAAGCTCCAAACCTGGCTGGGGGAGAGATGATAGGGGGGTTGACTCACCCCATCATCCTTCCAGGTTCGATAAAGAAGTATCAACTTGTTGCGAAGTCAGCAGTTATCGCCCTGTGGGGAGACTCGCACCGCCATAAGAATGTGGAGTTGTCGCCGCTGGCCCTGCAGGGCTTTAAAACAGCGGATAAGTACCGGTGTACCGCGATGCTCATGTGGGCAGGAGGTGATTTTGGCGTTGACTCTGTAAACACCCAGCCGCCTGTGTTGCATCCGTTGTCATGCTCAGTCCACTGCTGGATGAAGGCCTCCCCACGCCGTGTCGGACATGGGGAGAGGGGGGGGGTGCTGTTTGACCATACCTCGCCGCGTAGGTTAGTGTGGTTTGGTGAGGGTGAAAGTGGCTGAGGACCCCACATGATCGGTTCAGAAATCACTCTCTCGCCACTGATGATTGCCGCGGTCGGCAATGGATTGCGGCCGGCGGGTTTATAGCTCAGTGCGCTAACCACCGCGCCACCGTTCCCCCAATTAAATAATTTAAAAACGACAACGCCCTTTGTCGATTCGTTGCTGTACGAGGGCCTCACCACCACGTGTAGAATTACTTGGGTGGGTTATTTGAGTGACCATACTTCACCGCGCCGGTCAGTGCAGGCTATCTAAGGTTAAAATAAGGATTTCGGGAGAGCAGCACTTACATGGATCCAGGTGACTATATGACAAAGGTAAAGACAAAGATCCCCTGTGTAGCCTTCACAGACTGTTGGGGCAAGTGCTGTTAGCGAGGGCCTATGAAGGCCGGCACGGCACACGAGGCGGTGGGTGGCCAACACCACGCCCGGCCGCCTTTGTCTCCCCAGTGGCGATGTTTACACACCGCGCCGGGTACTCGTTTGAGGCTGAGTCGACCTAGGGGAGGCCCATGACCGGTTCAGATAATTGTCACTGGCGTTGGCCGTGAGCAGGAATCGAACCCGGGTCGCCAGGTTCGTAGCGCAGCGTATCGCTGACCGCTACACTACCGCTCCCCCACACACACACCTAGACACACAACACACACCCAAACAAGCAGAGGTCGTCACCATCGTTCAGCTCTTATCGATAATCCACTGCTGGATGAAGGCCCTCTGCGGTGCTTCGCGAACCACCTCCTCCCTGCTTCCAAACACCGCGGGTTTGCGTAAACCCGCGCAGCTCCCTGCGGCGCTGCGCCTACTGCTGCTCCTGCTGCTCCTGCTGCTGCTGCTCCTGCTGCTGTTACTCCTGCTGCTGTTACTCCTGCTGCTGTCACTGCTGCTCCTACTGCTGTTACTGCTTCTGTTACTGCTACTGCTGTTACTCCTTCTGTTACTTCTACTGCTGTCACTGCTGCTGTTACTCCTACTGCTGTTACTCCTACTGCTGTTACTCCTACTGCTGTCACTGCTGCTGCTGTTACTGCTGCAGTTACTCCTACTGTTGTTACTCTTACTGCTGTTGCTCCTACTGCTGTTACTGCTGCTGTTACTCATACTGCTGTTACTCCTACTGCTGTTACTCCTACTGGTGTTTTTCCTACTGCTGTCACTGCTGCTGTTACTGCTGCTGTTACTCCTACTGCTGTCACTGCTGCAGTTACTCCTACTGCTGTTACTCTTACTGCTGTTACTGCTGCTGTTACTGCTGCTGTTACTGCTACTGCTGTCACTGCTGTTGTTACTGCTGCAGTTACTCCTACTGCTGTTACTCCTACTACTGTTACTGCTGCTGTTCCTCCTACTGCTGTTACTCCTACTGCTGTCACTGCTGCTGTTACTGCTGCTGTTACTGCTGCAGTTACTCCTATTGCTGTTACTCCTACTGCTGTTACTCCTACTGCTGTCACTGCTGCTGTTACTCCTACTGCTGTTACTCTTACTGCTGTTACTCCTACTGCTGTCACTGCTGCTGTTACTGCTGCTGTTACTCCTACTGCTGTTACTCCTACTGCTGTCACTGCTGCTGTTACTGCTGCTGTTATTGCTGCAGTTACTACTACTGCTGTTACTCTTACTGCTGTTACTCCTACTGCTGTCACTGCTGCTGTTACTGCTGGTCTTACTGCTGCAGTTACTCCAACTGCTGTTACTCCTACTGCTGTTACTCCTACTGCTGTCACTGCTGCTGTTACTCCTACTGCTGTCACTGCTGCTCCTACTGTTACGTCTGATGTTAATGCTGCTGCCGCTGTTGCTACTGCTGCTGTTTCTACTACTGCTGCTGTTTCTACTTCTGCTGTTGCTACTACTGCTGTTGCTACTGCTGCTGTTGCTACTGCTGCTGTTGCTACTGCTGTTGCTGGTTCTACTGCTGCTTTTGCTATTGCTGCTGCTACTGCTGCAATTGGGGTTGGGGGAGGAGGGGCTATCAGGGTAATTGGCCGTCGTCTCATTAAGGGAGCGAGGTCAGGAGAGCGAAGTGCAACGTGGAGTGGTGATGAGAGTCGTTATCGCACTTGGGCTGGGACACAATAAAGACAAAGATCCCCCGTATAGCCCTTAACAGACTGTTGGGGAAAGTGCTGTTAGCGAGCGCCTATGAAGGCCGGCACGGTACACTAGGGAGGTCGATGGCCAGCACCACGCCCGGCCGCCTTTGTCTTCCTAAGTGCAGATTCTATAATAACTGTCACGCAATGTCTCAATGTTTACTCAGTTTCTCGATTGATGATGATGATGATGGGGTTGATGACGATGCTGATGGTGATGATAGTGATGGTAGTGGTGTTGATGATGCTGATAGTGATGTTGGTGTTGGTAGTGATGATGATGATGATGATTGTATATAATCTCACGCTTGGGATCACACTGCGAGACAGACAGAGGGGTCGACCCGTGGCCTAGAGAACGCACGCGGTTCAGAGGCACCGGCAAAGGTGACTACCGCTGCGGGGGGGGGGGAAGTTGGTAAGGCCGGGGCCAGGT